TTTTTTAGCTAACTGAAAAAATAGTTTAAATACCGTCTTGTAGTACCTGTTCCCGGGTCTGTGTTATTTATTCTTCTCTTTCTATCTATGTATCTCATATTGGTTCATTATTTTCCTTTACCAAAAACTGAAATAAAGACCCCTGGAAATATTATTTAGAAATTTCTCTTACAAAAAACAATACCTATTACCATTTCTTAACCTTACAAATCAAATATATCAAACCTGAAGTTTTGTGTAGTAAGCAACATACTCAGATCAGGAAAAATCTTGATGGTTAGACCTGTAATCCAGCACTTAGAGACTGAGATAGGAGGAATGTAGTTCCAGGCGAGCATGGCTACGAGAGATATCCGTCTACAGCAAAACAAAATTTTAAAAATAAGGAAAATGATAATGATAATAGATTTTAAAATAGCATGTTCATATTGATAAAAGAGAATTAAAAAAAGAATAAGCAGCAAAAAGTTGCAGGAGATTCAGATTAATTAATAAGTGGCTCAGAAGACATACTCAGAGTAAGATGCTTTGATATGGAAAGCACTTTGAAGGAAGAGAAATTGGAAACCCTTTGAAACTACTCAGAAAAAAGGTCTTTCTCAACTTTCTTGTGTATTACCACCAGTCACAGGGAAAGAATCTATCTGATGTTTTCCAATCTGACTGAGGGAAGTTTTCCAAAAGGATGGACTCCCTCCCCCAAATCTCACTAATTCATGGAAGATAACTCATAGAAAAGAAGAGTAACAGGTGTCCACCTATTTTCATAGACGATATCAACCATTCTTCTGATAACTGCCTCCTGAGAGACTTTGTCTTCATGGATTGACAATCTTTGTTGATAGAGTAGTTCTGTCCTCACCTCTGTCCCAGGCTATATGTCTCGTCCTTCAGACTCACTTCATTCTTCTAAAACATCATTAACTGCCCCTGGAAAATTGCCTGCAACACCTTCTTCCATTCTCCTTCCCTCCTGTGAAGAGTACTGAAGCTTCAACCTTGTGGCACTTCATTTAGTTTTTCATATTTCATGCGGCTCCTGTGCACATGAGCATATTAATAAATTTCTGTATCTTCTATTCACCTGTCTGTTGTTGGCTTATTTAGTAGACTTAAAGATCCAACATTTGGAGGAAGAGGGAAAAATTTCCTTCACCCTATAATAAGCCAAGAAGATTAAAAGAAAAAGAAAAATATAGAAAGATAGAATAAAATAGTTTAAACAACTATAAATAGGCCAAGTTAAAGTGTAAAACGAGGTCAAGCTCTGTGGCTCATTACAGGGCTATAATCCCAAGTGCTAGCAAGGCAGAGATCAGGAGATCATAATTGGAGACCAGTCCAGGCAACAGAAAAAGATAAAAAACAAAACAAGACAAACAATAAAAGGTCAGCAAGACTCCATCTCAATCATAAACTGGGCGTGATGGTACACATATGTGGTCACAACTACATGGGAGGCAACAGGTAGGAGGATCCTGGTCTAGGCAGGCCCCAAATGAAAATCCAAGCTCAATCTTAAAATAACTAAAGCAAAAATGGGGGTGTGGCTTAAATAGTACAGTGAGTACAGTGTCTGCTAGTAAAGGCAAAGCCCTGAGTTCAAACCCCAGTATTCCTCTGCCCCTAAAAAAAAGTTAAAAAGAAAAGAAATGGAGAGAGAAGACATTCCTGAGAAAGGGTATAAGTCAGAATGAGTTTTTAAAAAACTAATACTTAAAAAGATTTTAAACTAAAATAGTAAAAATCTCCTGTAAACTAAAGCACATGCACCATCAAAAAAAAAAAAAAAAGGAAACATAGATTCCTAACTAGGTCCTCTTAACTTCCAAAATCCTGAGATCTGAGATCCTTGAAGAGTGAGAGAATGGAAGAGGCAGAGAGTTGGGTCTTCATTGCTCTCTATGGCATAGGCCTGGTTGCTTGAATAGTCGGTATAAGCCTGTGAAAGTGGAAAAAACTTTTTAGCAGATAACCACAGGTGAACAGTTAGTCCACTAGTGGCTTGCACACAGGAGAAAAAAGCAGTAAAGAAATTCATTTTAAAATTAATCTTAGCATATATTTTCTTAGAGTTGTTTAGCTATTGTTAGCACTCTCTGCTCTTTTTATATAGAACTTTTTAAGAATAAAAATTTTAAGAATAGGTTTTTTCACTCAGAACTGTAGGAGATACTTAAATGACTAGAAACAGATGAGTTGTATTTGCATATTATGTCTATATTGCTGAAAGACTGTTGTAAAAATGAATTCCAGCACCGTGGTGTTAAGGGACCAGAAAAGAAACTAGGGAACTGATAGATTATATCAAGGTAAAGGTACTTATTCCCAGGTGGCAAATTCTACCTATTCTAGCTTTTATTATCCTTAGCACAGTGTTCTATTTATTTCATGAGTACAGAAGTTTTAATTGGGTATGTCATGTTTCAAAGACAAAAGAAATGCCTAATTCACTCTAACAAACTTGTTAGTCACTGTTTATACCAAGAGGATTTGACTCTACAGAGAATAATATTGTATTCTTTTCCTTTGTTGATAAATTCAAAGTTTTACACTGACCTACAGCAGTCAAGCATATTTTAAAGCAAAAATCATCTCAGGCTAACACAGATGTGTATGTATCCTTTTAGCTCTTTTTGCTCTCTTTTTGTTCTTTAAATAAATACTGTATTTCAAAAATAATTCAATAAGAAAGTGTTCAAATTTGTCACTAATTTTTCTGATAATTATTTATAGGTTTGGTTAATTTCAATTTTAATAATATTAATAAAATTTTTATTACTTTTTCCTTTATACTTGATAAATTACTTGTAGATTTTTGCTTGGCTGCAAAGGTTTTGGTAATCAGTTGTATAACCGTTGTGAGAATGATTTGTAGAAAAACTTCACCAGTATTGCCTGGGTTTCTATTTGTTATCAAGTCCGTTTTTCTAGAAATATGGTTTTATGGTTTACCCTGCTCAGTGCATGATCTTTCACTTGGACAAAAGGTTTTAGTAGGGGGTGTTACAGTTTCAGTTCACCCTAATTCTGTTACTGTTTGCTTTGTTCAGCAATCACTCTGATCCTCCTGGCAGGGAACAAGATCCAGAGAACAAAACTAGTAGTGACTGTGTAGATAAAAAGGCAACGGATTCTGCTTTTAAGGCAAAGGGGGAATAGTCTACAGAAGAATGAAAATGGGAATGAAAGTGTGGCATTGTTAACCTGCAGATCTATTGTACTTTTGAAAGTCTTAACACTGCAGAAAAAAAGGAACACTACAAAGATACATAATTATGTGACTGAAAATCTTGAAAAAGGTCACAGTTTAGTTCTTGCTTGAATAATAATGAGAAAATAGACTAGATTATTCATAACTGAAAAACCACAGAACACTTTCCCTTAAAATGACAGTGTTTCAGCAGTATACAAAGTACATAATATTTTATTTATTCTCTACCAGAACAACTCTTTAGATACCATGAAGATGATGAGGTCAACAAGAGTACTTCAGAGAAGAATGGGAAAGAAATGTCAGAACAGACATTACAGAAGGTAGTGTAATCTTTAAGATATTGAGCTGAACAAGTTAAATCTGAATTTTAAAGTAAAGGATTATATTTTAAAATGAGGGCTCATGAACTTAAACCTCATATGAACCCTTAATTTAAATTCATAATTCAAATCATTGGCTTGCCAAAATGGGGTAAAAAATCAATGTTAGTGAAATAAATGTGTAAACACTTGTGCTTCTGTTCACATAAATTGAAAATATTTTTAAAGGTGAAATGGAGAGTATGAAAACAATAGAAGTTAACAAAATTTAAATTATATGTGCTTACTAGTTGTAACTGAACAGATCAAGTTTAAAATGGATCATAAAACTGCTACACTGCAAAAGACATACAGATTTACAATATTTGAACTAAAAATCGATCACAGTTATGTCTCTACAACAGTGAAATAGTAGTATGTTTATCATTTTACACTTGGAAGTAAGCATGGCTCATGTCATTTTAGTAAAAATTTATACCTTGTAATTTAGTATAGCTTTCTGACTTTAGTAAGTGCATCTGTATCACATGATACACTATGTCTGTCATTAATGATAAAATGCTGTTTTGAAATCTTAATATTTTTGGGGGGGAATAAGGAAGCAAGGAAAAACATTTTGATGTTATCTTCACAATTTTATGCTTATGTTTTTGTATATAAATACATTGCTATTGAGTTCAATGAAATTCACTTAATTTTATTTACACTTTCTGGTATTTTTAAAGAAAATAGTCTTTAAATAGTTTATTCTTATAACTGTCATTTGGTCATGATGAATTGGTTTTGTTTTTTATATACCTTTAATACTTAAAGTTGGAAATACACAGATATACAAAAAAGTATTATTATACCTAAGTATATTTATTGCATCTGTGAATTGACTTGTAAGAAATGTGATTTACAGCAGATGATATGATTCACTATACTTGTAACACTTGCCATATGGTCAGGTAACAAAGGCTGTCATCTTGTTGTTACTGAGTGTCACACATCAGGTTAACATAGTAACTAGAGAAGAAGTGCGCGTGTTCATTCATCTTAAAGTAAAATGAAAAATTGTGGTAATGTAGGTACTATCAGTTAAGATGTCATGCAGCTTATAGTAGATTGTTATCTTCGTTTCATAGTAACATTTTTGTTTGCCAGGTTTTATATTTTTATTTATATAGATATATAATATTTTACTATTTATTGCTCTAGAATAAATCTATTATTTCATTCTAATCACAAGAAATGACTATTACTATAATGGATCCAGAAATTCCCTTTAAAGACCTGGAAAACCAACAGTACTTATTTTTCACTGGGCCATATATCATACTAGGATAGTAATTTCACACTAATTTTTATATCAATGTAATTCATTTGTGTACTTCATGATTTAAATCCTCATGATTAAATTTACTTATTTTAAAAGGATGTATATGACCCTCATTCAGAATGGATTTAAAAGTTAGTAATAAGATGAAAATTCTTATCTATATTAGGAATGTAAATAGATTAATTTAAAAATGATATATTAGCATTTCACACTGTTATTGACAATTACTTGTCTTTGAAATAATACATTAAAGTCCTAATCTTAATCTCAGATACTGAACAGTATTTGAAGATAAAGTCTTTAAAGAGGTAACTGAGTTAAAATGAGATAATTAGAGTATGCCCTAATTCAATATGCTGGTATTAGAAATTAGGATACTGACAAACACACAGTGAAACCATGTGACCTGGTGAAAGGATTGCAGTTTACAAGACAGTGAATGAGGCTTCAAAAGAAACCAACCTTGTTGACACTTTGTCTGGGGCTTCTAGACTATGAGAAAGTAAATTCTTGTTGTTTAAGTCACCAGTTCTTGTTACTTTATGTCAGTTCTAGAAAACTAATATGCATACTTCATAATAGCTGGTGTTTATTTCAGTTTTGAAAAGAGCCATCTCTTTGATTATTTTAAATGAAACTGGACTTTCTTTCAGCTGATTTAAAACAAGCCAAATGCCTTTAACAATTTCTCAGAATTGTTTTCATTCTTAAAATCAGTTAACAATTTTTGTGAGCGTAACTTCAATAATACTTTAATAGCTGCTATGGATTTTTTCTTTTTAAAGTCTTTAGAAGTAGTATCTTAGTTTCTTTTTCTGTTTTCCATTTTAATCATAAGTACAGATTATTTTGAACAGTTCTTGTGGTTTAACATAGATTTGCATAACGCAGTGAACAAACTTTAAAACACTGATATTTTTCATTGGTATGCGTAGGGACACAAAAGTGTGATGACTTTTTTCACTCATCCTAAGAATAACAGCCAATATTCTTGCAACAAAAGACAGAGTAACAAGAGAAAAGCCTAACAAATTTATTTAATGTTTTTTTTACATCTCACTTGAAGTTTCAGAATGAAGAGCCAAGGAAAACTGTTTTTATGCTTAAGTTCTATGAAGAAAAGACAGCTGTTTCAAAATGTGATTGGGATAAAATGTATAATCTAAAGGTAAAATAGACTGAGGGAGAACCCCCAGAAAGACCAGTTTATTCGGATTCTTCTTGGCCTGACTGTTAGTATTCTTTCCCCTAAGATGGGGTAGGACTTGTCTGGAGTAAAGATTTTCAAGAGTGAAAAGAGAAGGGAGAAAGTGATCTTTCTTTGTATTATGGTTTGCTTTGGGAGAGAGGAGTTCTAGTTTTAATGACCTACCTTGGTAAAGAGAAATTCTTGTTTCCATGACTCACACTGGGGGAGGAAGTGGGTAGGTATGAGGATAGGAGGAAGTCAAAGAGACTTTGCCTTTCAAATGCCCTTTCAGTTCAAAATACTCAGCATGCCAATGTACGATAGTTGGTAGATATTTGTTCTGGACTCCAACATATAAAATTTCCATGAGTTATATCCAAACTTAAATAGATTTTATCTATAGAAAAAAAAAGTTTATTTCCAGAATTGAAATATTAAAGACATTTGTTATATTTGTTTGTAACAGTTTATTTTAATTAAAACAAAAAAGTTGATTTAATGGCTAATTCAGCATATTTAACACAGTAATTATATTTTAGTTCAAGTAATTTTATTAGGTAGCTGTTAAGAGTAATAATAATAATAGAAACTGGGCTAGAGACTTGGCACAAGTGGTAGAGTGCTTGGTAAAGCCCTGAGTTCAAACACCAGTACCATAAAAAAAAAGTAATAATAATAGAAACAATATTGATGATGATAAACTGTTTAGTACTTAACTGTATGCCAGGATTTGTTTTTATGACCATATTTAATTCTTATAACAAACCCACATGGTAGGTATTACCAATCTCATCTCACAGAAGAAACTAAAGGTAAGATAGGTTAAATATTTTACTGTCTAAAGTGACCAAAGATGAATTCGAGATAGAGACCTGACTCAAAATTCTATTTTCTATAGACCATCCTGCTTCTTCTTATTATTTTTATACCACAACTGCCAAAATAAAAAATTTTAAAGTGTAGTTGTTTACTTGTACAAAATGCATATTTAAAAAAATAGTGTCCATTCTATTTACCCTACCCTGGAATCTAGCATGGTAAAATATTTTCATATATATGGAAAGTATACTATTTAGGTAGTGATTAAAGATCTACGGATGGAAACTAGAAAATATAAACAGATCATAGTCTTTGTTTTTTTGTAGTGTATTGTATGAGAGGGGAATAAAAGTTGAAGGTAGGATGATTTGGAAGAAGTAAAAAGAATTTATCCAGAGTTAATTTTATTTAGCATTATTTATTATCACATTAACCAGCTCTCTAATAATATATTTGGATTGAGAGTATATTTCACAGAAATACACAGAGATCTACAATAATCTAGTACAAAAGTTTTTATATTCCTCTACTCTAGGTTAAAAGTGGGTCTTAAAAGGACATAGTACATTAATAGCTGGGTATATCATTCCATGGAATAGAAGTGATTAAAATTAGATGACATTCTTCATATTGTTTTGGTAAATATCCATGCACCACAATGGGATAGCCAATCAGCAAATGACTGTTCAACTAAATGCACCCTATTGAACTTGCAAGAAAAATAGAGGATATAAAGATGACTAAAACACAGTTTTTGAAAGTAACTTATATCTTCACCACTATAAGTAAGGTTTATTAAACTGAAAAGTGTTAAAAATATAAATTTTATCTTGTATATTTCTGGACTATTATTGTATCAAATTGCTGATTGTTGTCTTAGTTCCTTCAAGCTGGTATAACTAACTATGCAGAAGCTGAGCCATGTATGCACAACAGAAATTTATTTCACATAGTTTTGGAGGATGGGAAGTATAAGATCAAGGTGCCAACAGGTTCAACCTATGTTTTCTGATGGTGTCTTTTAGTTGTGTCCTCACATGGCAGAAGGAGCTAGCTAGCTCTCTGTAGTCTCTTAAAAGAGCTCTAATCCAATTCATGAAAGGGTTTGCTCTTATTGGTAATTAGGCTTTAACGCGAATTTTGAGGAGACACAAACATTCAAACCACATATGTGTGCACGCACATGCACACACAGAGAGAGAGAAAGAGAGAAGGAGGGGCTGGTTATTTGTATTTAGTTACCACTTTTTCATGATTGTTAAATATTGAAGAAAATGTTATTTACTAAGTTTCTCCATGTTCCTATTTTTAGATGTTTTTATAAATTGTTTTAACTCTCTAAAAAAGTATTTTTTGCACAATGAGTAGACTATACAGCCAAAGCATTTATGATTTTAGAAAACTCTGCAGTTTATTAGCATACTTAGTTCTGTGTCACTTTGTGTAAAATTTTAACTTCTTTTACCATCTGGCCTTTATTCAACAGATGTATTATTGCATTTTTGATTGTGTTCATCTATAGCACCTTAGAAGTATTTAGAAATTAAGTACCTTAGCTTTATTTTGTCCTTGTGTGAGGTGTAAGTTTTCTTTCATTAGTTAGAAACGATAATAAAAATGCAGTAGATTATGGTTTTGGATGTTAAAAGGGTTAATTAAACTCTTGTGTAGGTCATTGAGTTGGAAAATCGGCTAAAATCTTTTGAGAAAAGTTCAAGAAAATTTAAAAAAGAGAATAAAAAATTAATGAAAGAAAATGATTTCCTGAAGTTCCACTTAAAACAACATCAACAAGATGCAGAGACCAGAGAAAAAGAGCTAGAACTGCTAGTTAAGAGGAGTAAAGATGCAGAAAAAGACAAAACTGAACTTCAAGTAAAAATCAGTGAGCTGGAGAAAGAAGTCACTTCCCTAAGGAGACAGGTGGCAGAAGCTAACACACTGAGAAATGAAAATGAAATGCTGGTGAATCCAGTGGAGAAATCGCACCATTCAGCAGACAAGGCTAAATCTGAGATGGCCACCACAGAAGTGAAATCTGGACAGTATGAATGTAAGACTACCACTACCAAGGTAAAATTGAAAGCAGCAAAGAAAAAGTACTCTGTGGGTCGTCACCACATGGTTCTTAATCACTCCATCAAGGTTATGAGCAATGTGTTTGAGAACCTCAGTAAGGATGGCTGGGAGGATGTGAGTGAAAGCAGGTAAGACTTTCATTAACTTAGCTCTGTGGTGGGGACACTGTGCATATGTAAAGCACTGGCAAATGGAGATTGAATTTCAACTACTGTCAATTTGGTATTCAGAAAAAATACTGTCAGATCCTTTGAAATATCTTGGGAGGTCTTGTTCTGAGTTTATTGACTAAAATTTGCATGCAAAATTAGCCACAACTGCATGAGTATTTGAATAGATGCCAGGAAACCCAAAAGAAGGCAATGCTTGATTTCTTTCAGTGATGCTATTTTCATGCAGTCATGAGGCTTGAAATTGACAGTTTGGCAGGTTGATTTAATTTGCTGGCCCTTTGCATATTCACTACTGACAGCTAAGGATTCCCAGGCAAGCCTACTAAGTCAGTTTAGTTATCTTGTGACATGCCTACCTGGGAGGAAAAATACTTCCCCCCTTTAATTTAGTTAGATAAATTTTGAATGACCCATTTCAGCTTGTTACCATATGTCTACAAGCTGTTTAACATCCTTTAAATTAAGAACCATCTTCACTAATTATTCCATGTATGTATTATGCAAAGTCATTGTACTAACTAATTGAATGGTAGTTAAAAATTACTTTTTTAGAGTTATACAGATTCTTAGTCTTAAACCCTAGTGAATAGCAACAGGAGAATTCTAAAAATCTGTACTGTTCTTCCTCTTACCTCTGGTTACATGTTCATATACATCTTTGAAGCACAAAGGTAAATGAATGGTAAGACACCTCTTTCTTATACCTAGGCAATAAGGAAGTACAATGTTGCCAGAATTTGCTAACAAATCGTTCAATTTTCATAATTTGTCTTGTTGCATAATAACATGTATTTCCTTTTATTTTCCCTAGATTTTGTTTTGTTTTTAAGTCCTTAGCAGTGGTTCTGTTTTAGATTTGGGAAGAGTATGGATAGGTTTCTTAATCACAGACATAGAATGGAAGATTATCTTAAAACAGTTTGCAAATTTCTGTATGGGTGGAAATGTATGATACTTTCCCTCACTATTATAAGGATCGTTTCTTGCTTGACATCCCTATTAACAAAAGACAAATTAAAGAGAAAAATACAACATGTGTATTTAATCAAAGTTTTACAAAAGAAAGGAAAATTCAGATTGAAGGCTCAAAGACTCAGAGAAAACTCCATTTTTATGCTTAGAGTCAATGAGGAGTGGACAGTTGCATAGAAATGTGCTTAGACAAAAAGGGTATGATCTAATATCTTAAAGGGGGGAAAGGACCAAAAGGGAGAAACTGGGCAAGGCTTGCCTGCTCAGATTCTTCATGTCCTGTCTGTATGGCATTCTTTCTTCTTGGATATAGGGGAAGATCATTGTGGAATGAGAGTATTATGATGTAACATCATCACACAAGTGAGGTGATCATTTCTTTATGGCCGGCTCTTAAACAGAAGGCAGGTGAAGATGAGAGAAATATGTTTAAGTTTTATGGCTTATACCAATAAGTTTGGGAACCATTGTTTTAAATGATCATCAAGCCAATGATCATTCTTGTCCTTAGGCAGGTAAAGAAACAAAAAACAAATTTAGAAATGTAAAGCCAAAGGACCAAATCTGCATTACCACTTCCTTGTTACCTCTTCCCAGGTTCTTCCCTGGTTTCAAAAGCAATTGGAGTTAAAAGTCCTACTTATAACTCATGAAGCATTTATCTGTATCTTCAAGGAAATCGTAATTTCAGATACAAATTTTGTCTCAGAGATGTAATATTTCTGCACTATTTATAGTGTAGTTGTGCAGCTTACTTATGTGTGTGTCTGTATATTATAAATTCCTGAAAGGTAATATGCTCAGTTCTGATTTCATCACTAACACAGTCATTGTTTTTTTTTTTTCTTTCATTTTTCTTTTATTATTCATATGTGCATACAAGGCTTGGTTCATTTCTCCCCCCTGCCGCCACCCCCTCCCTTACCACCCACTCCACCCCCT